TGCAGAATGAATTGAGAGTTATCATAATTATGATAGCGGGATGAAAACATTGTCCACTAAAATGAATACTCCTTTTAAGTCTACGTTTAATGATAACAGTAATTAAAATATTGAGGCAATTGTATATCACTAGGCCATAAGTATATCATTATTAGAATTATCTATCTGAATTACAAGAAAAAAGTACATATATATATATTTAAAAAGAAAGGATGATTCGGAATGAAAGAAAGAAGTATAATTTTTTATGCGTTAAATAGTTACTTAATGAAATGTCTAAAACATAATTTTTATTGATAATTCTTATTAACATAATTCTTATTAATTAATTAATTCTTATTAATATAATTTTATATAAATAAATAAAATTTATATAAATAAATAAAATTTTAATTAATGATCAGTTATTAAGTTTTATGACCTCAAAAAGAGTACATATGTATTCTTCAAAGGCTGGTAATCTTAATAGATATAAGTTCGCTGAGCTGGAACATAGTGCGATCTTTGATCGATGGATTTCCACGCAGTTATTCCTTTTTCGCGATCATGATCTCACGATCACTTTCTCTCGCATTCTATCCCACTCTCGTTTCCGGTACATCGTGGTGCGGCCTCCGTTTTCACGCTCGCTCGCGCAGGTGCCGCATTTACCTTGCGCGTGCGCCGCGACGCATGCACGTTTCAACAAATTGTCATGAACTAAATGCCACGAAAGATTCGTAAGCTCACCGTGCGGAGCGCCGGTGTGCGAAGTGCGACCTGTCGTCCCTATCGAGGCGGATGAATGGCGTATTTATGTGTTTTAACGCGCGACATCGCCTATGTTCCGACATCATTGCATTCCGCATCCACTCCACGAGTTGCCTGAGCTGTCCGAGGAGCACGTCCTCGCATATTTCATTAATCCCAACTTGGTGAGCTTCAGCGGAGCTGCATCGTAGAGATCGTATCGTCGCACGGTAGGCGTTGCTGTCACTTGGCTTCTCTCGCCCCGCGTTCTTTTCACACATTTTCACGCTACTCCTGCGCCTTGTACACTTGATTTATACTACAGTAATATAAATCACATGTCACAGAGTCTTTTCGATCAGCGGAAATTATCCGCGGAATACATGGGCGGCTGTGGTTAAGAGATAAGCGTGTGGATACACCTCTGACAGGCAGAACCGCGTACTTTTATTGTTAATAGAACAATCACTGTTAGATGATATTGCCAGTGAAATTACTATGCTATAAACATTCGTTTGTCTCATAGGCACAATCTTAATAATTTAAATTGTTTTGAATGCAGGGATAATGTTTACCAAGAAGAAAAAGAAACCACAGATTTCCACGCCAACTAATTTTGAGCACAGAGTGCATACTGGATTTGATAAACGTGAAGGCAAGTTCGTTGGATTGCCGCTGCAATGGGCTTCCATAGTCGGAAATAATCAGATTCTGAAGTCTACCAACAGACCACTGCCCTTGGTCGATCCAAGCGAGATCACACCTACCGAGATCCTTGACTTGAAGACCATCGTAAGAGGCCATAATGATCCTAGGATAAACAGACCACTTGCCACTGATAGAACTGTCGAGAATGGCTTGCCTAAGACTAGTACAGTCGCCCGTTCCAATTCTCTTCGTTCTTCGAGTCCACCACGACTCAGGAGAGATTACAGGTATTATAATTTAGCTTTTTCTTAGATGTATTTATTACTATGTTGCATCAAACATGTAGATTTATATAAAGAATGATACAAAAGTATATATAGCATAATGTATAACAAAATTTTTGTTGATAAAGACTGATACTGTAAACATACAACTATATCTATGTAGTTGATAGAAATAAATTAAGCGTCTTAAGTATATTAGATATTCTTGCATTATTTATTTATAGACATATTCTGATGAGATTAATGACAGCATAATTTTTTCTTTTATTTTCTTATTTTGCAGGCATAACAGCAATCTTCCGCCATCCGTTCCTGAAGGCCAAGAGATACCTTCAAATGTTAATCAGGGCTTTACGAACTTTGGCAAGCCACATAACTACATCGATAAACTAAGACAAAATTCACCGAATGTTGGCAGTGGATTGAATTCCAGTATGCAGAACATGCTCCCAAATCTTCAAAATCTCAATCCTAATATGCAATCTTCGCCAAATTTAGCTCACTCTGGATCAAATGTACCAAACTTATCTTTAAATTTCCAAAACTTAAGTCCTATTGTAAATTCGCAAGCTCCAGTACAAAGTCCAAATACCCCGCAACTTCTTGACACAGAATTTCATAGACTAAATTCGCAAATGGCTATGACGTCAGGTCATTATAATGGCAATGTACAGGTAATTATCACAGTATAATTATTAGATATCACATTCAAAAGAATATATATATATAT